GTAGGCACACTGAAATTTCTACCTTACAGCTAAGCAAATGGAGTCTTTGTCACTTCAAGTGATTTGTCTAAGGCGGAAGGGCCAGGTGACACTATCAGCAGGAGGACAGCAGAGAGCCCAGGAGCGTAGGAGTCCCACGAAGCTGGGTCAAGCTCCAGCTCGGTCACTGACCAGGGATGTGCTGTGTTGGCCCGGCTGCTTCACCTCTCTGCACCCTCACCTTGCCCATGGAGCTCTACAGGGAGGATATGTGCCACTGGCTTCACAGTTCTGCAGGAATTACAAGTTAATAATACCCGGCACAAAGCAGGAGGAAAAATGAATGGCCAGCAAGTAGTGTGTACTCAGAACTTAGTATGAGTACTTTGCACGCAGTACCTCACAGCAATCTTTAGAGAGCAGGTTATCATTACTACCCCTCCAGCTTCCTACTCCATTTGCTTCATTCCCTGCCCTGCTCCATGGCTATGCGTGAAAGCATTTGGTTCATTTCTGATGCCATTTCAGACTCTATGACTTGACCCTGTTTGCCTCTACCCAGGGCCAGTCTTTCATTTAGTATAGGGGGAGTGATTGGGTTAACTTCTTATCTGTGATGATAATAACGTCATCTGCAATAACAACAGTACAAGCCACCATTCATCGCAGGCTTCCTGGATGCCGAGCAGTTTACACGGGGAAGCTTTAACACCTTAAGTGTTAGACATGCTTGAAAAGGGGACTCTTCAAAACGACCTCGAGTGGCCGCAGAGTGCGTGGTACATGAGAAACATCAACGTCTGTCACTCCGCACCTAGAGCAGCGCCTTCTCAAAATGTCCACTTGGCATACACATGCTCTGTCTGGTCTGAGCCTTGGTTCCGAGGCGGCAGGCCCATGTTGCAACTGTCTTCGCAGGCCCCTCTCCGGCCCCATAGCCTGCCTGCAGTACAACTACGTCCCCTGTGGTGCTGGATGGGAATCCAAACCTATATGATAGTGGCAGAGATATAGAGATGTACAGCTGTGCACTCACGGTAACAAGACTTGTTTTCATTGATTAAGGAGGAAAAAGAGCAGTTTTACTCTCAAGTAACATGACTGGTTGTTCCAGAATAAGAGATAGCTTTGTGGAGAGGGAATTTGATTTACTTGGGCTTATGGAGTCTGCAAAGCCATTAAGTATGTTAGAATTTTGCCAAAGCTGGTTCAGTTTTTATGAGTTTATTCATATTATTTTCAAAATGAAGGCTCCTGAGAAATTGCAAAGATGTGTTCTTTCACCTCTAAAAAGGAAGGTGCCATAAATAAATAGGCTTGGGGCCAACATTGTGGTACAGCAGGTAAAGCTGCCACCTGCAATACCAGCATTCCATACGGATGCTGGTTCATGTCCCTGCTGCTCCACCTCTGATCCAGCTCTCTGCTAACGTGCCTGGGAAAGCAGCAGAAGAAGGCCCAAGTCCTTGGGTCTCTGAATCCACAAAGGAGATCACATGGAGTTCTGGGTTCCTGGCTTTGAAGTGAACCAGCCCCAGCCTTTGCGGCCAGTTGGGGAATGAACCAGCAAATGGAAGCTCTCGCTCTCTCTCTCTAACTCTGCCTTTCAAGTAAATAAATAAACCTTAAACAAACATATATATTTAATTAGGCTTATTTAGTATCTCATGGGTGGGAATAACTGTCCTCTCAGAAAAGATACTCAGCCTTCCCTAAGTTAAATTTATACACAAAAGGCTTTATTATCGACACCAATATTCCACAAATGATACGCTGTATGAGAAGTTCCAGATTTCTCAGTGACCATGAAATGCTGCTGCTCAGCCTCCTGCCAGCGCTTTGACCAATGACAGCAGTATTCGATATTAGCCATGATTTCAGTCATGATTTGAAATGTTGTCAGGGCTGCAACTTCACTTGTTCAGCGTGAAGCATCTTCCAGGCCAATAGTTTTCAACTGGAATGTGTGCATCAGACTTTCCTGGAGAGTTTTATTAAAATATAAATGCCTAAGACTAACCCCAGACTTACTGAATCTCTTTAGTTGACATTCCTGGGATGTTATGTAAATCCCAGGATTTTTTATATGCTACATCTGAAAGAATTACATACATTCGTTTTTATAAACTGATGTAACATTTGCTGTCTTTGGAATCACCCTGATTATGTTTATAGACACCATCTTGTCTTTGTTGTTTGGAGTAGTTTATTTTTCTTTTATAGACACAGGAGCAATCAAATGTCCTTGTCAGTTGCATTATTTCTTTTTGTCCTGAACTCTCACTAGATTGTCCACTTTTGAAAATTATCAGTAGTAAGTTAGCCAGGGCTTTTTACTCTTTGTCACCTACAGGTAGTTTCTGTTTTACTCGGATGCTTCCTAAAGGCTCTGTAATCAGCCACAGATTAGAATTTTTATCTTTAACAACCAAGAACTGTCTCAGAAAGCACTGCACAGAGCTTCTGATGACAGCACTTAGAATTAAAAAATAATACACCCTACTGGACTGAGTCAGGAGTTCCCTAACCCTTTAGTCAACAGACCCATGGGTTTATGAGATGCCTAGCCCAAGAGTCAATGGAAAAGATGAAGTGTTCTCAAAAAGTTCATGGAAAATGAATATTATGGAAAACATAATGCATGGATTTCTAATTTTTTCAGACCAAAATGAATTTATCTCTTATTTCCATTTTTCCTTAAACCATTTGAACTCAATGAACAGATGAAGGATGATTGCTGTCATTTATATTTGGAATACTGTTATAGTGTTCTATTTTCTGGATAGGTGTGTCATGAAGATGTTTTTCTTCCTAGGCTACTGCCACTTGAACACTGCAGTAGATCTGACTTTTGTAAACTGAAATGAGACATTTATGAATATCTAATTCTCTCTCCTTGTCTCCTTAGAATTCATGAACACTTATTGAGTCTCCTTGTTTGTCACAGGGATATGGCTGTTTGTATGAGTTCAACAAGAACCTGTCCTTTTTATGAGAGCATAATTAGAAAAATGGATTATGCAATCAAGGCCTTGCCTAAAAAGCTGTATTTGACAAGGTTGCCTACCTACTCAGATGTAGCCAACCAGCCTTAAGGAACTAAGGTTCACTGTATGGAGAAAATACTAGTAAAATCCTCCCAAGAAAGCTGACTTACTGGGTTCCCAGCCTTATAAATACCAGGAATCCTAGGGTCTTTGGAGGACCTTAAGAAAACAATTTGTCCTCACCTGTAGGTACAGCAGGTAAAACCTTATGGAGCCAATTTCTTGGGTTGGCTTCCTAATCTCAAGACAAGAAATACTAAACAGATTCTAAGTCCAATCCGGGATTCCGAATGAACACTTCCTGCCGAGCAAACCTAATAAGACCTATCTGATAAATTAACACTCTTGCTGTCCTTATATAAATAATGAGATAACATCTTACCAGACCAGCTTTATAATCTTTCTTGGAGATTAGTCTTTATCAAAACAGGGGAGACTGGAAATAAAAAGTCTGTTGACAGAAAAGGATGCATTATCTAGAGAATTGCCCTCTAGGTTATCTGGTTCCAGCCTTTCCTTTATCTGATTCTGGATTTTCATTGACCTAGAGCTAGTTTACAATAGGTAAAACAAGGCATAGGCAAGTGGCAAGTCACGTGAAACATGTCTGTGGACTACAGTTTCCTTAATCTTCCCTCCCAACCCCAGGAAAAGCCAGTTTGGCCTCAATGTTCTTTGGACTCTGTTATTCTTAATTGTGGTAAAATAGACATAACATAAAATGTATCATTCTAACCATTTCTCCATGTGCACCCCAGCGGCACTGAGGGCATGCTCACTGCTGTGCCATCATCACCACCAACCACCACCTGAACTCTTCCCGCCTTCCCGAATGAAATTCCCATAGGAACCCAAACGCCCTATTCTCCCTCCCTAGATCCTCCTTGGAGACAACTATAACATCTCCGGCTCCCCCACTAGGAGTAAAATAAAATCTTTCACACATGTTCCCTTCCGTATCCTCATGGGAGTTAACATTTTAGTTCTTCCTGAAAAATGGCTTTATTTTTTTTCATTCCCAAACTCAAAGAGGAGCAAGTCAGCTCTCTGAAAGAAGCTTGGAAGCCACGCGGTCCAACCCCAAAGGGAACATGCCTAGGGCGACCAACTGTCCTGCTTTGCCAGGGACTGGAAGCATTTGGGGAGGGGGGACAGGAATCTTTGTTTTTAAAACCAGGACAAGTCGGTCACCTTTAAAAAGTGTCTGCTGTGTCTAAAGGGGAATCTCCAAGTCTTATGACTTTAACTTGGGAATCCAGCCGCCTACTGCACTATCATCTATCTGCTTTTCAAGACAGGCCAGGAATCCGGCTATTTTTGTTAAATTCTGTAACGTCTATGTGACGGCCACTAACGCAATACTAAAAATCGCTGGGCAGACCAGGCAAACTGCTCCAGGCTTTGAAGGTGCCTGATGAAGAGTCGCTGAGCCTCCTCCACCCACCGCCCAGCCAGACACGTGGCCTCCGCGGCCCTGTAGTGGAAGCCGTGTGACCACCCAACTGCCAGCCACCTGCCTGGCTTCCAGGTACGTCTGGGGCTGGGACCCCTCAGGGCAGGCTCCCAGAGCCACTGAGTTCTGGCTTCTGTGTCACCCAAGGGCTAAAAGAGGCCAAAAGGACACTCGGCGTCTCCAGTGGCCACCTTTTCCCTCCACCTCCCCCGGGACTCCGTTCCCCAGCCAGCAAGTGCCAGTCCCTCGGTGCCCAGTGAGAGGCAAGTGGGGCGCCCTGCAGGTACCCGGTGTGTGTCTGTGGCAGTGAGGACCGTACGCCGCACGCGGCGAGATTCGCAGGCAGCCTGCTCTTCGCCGGCGTCTCGCCGCCCGAGAAGCCGGGGACGCAGGCGCGCGCCACCGACGGAACCCGCGGCCAAACCCTGCCGGACGCCCCGGCTGACCGGCTCCGGCTCCCCGACGCGGCCCGGGGCGAGGGACGGTTCCAGCACAGCGTACCCCCTCCCAGCCCTGCTCACCAGCTGTCCCTGGAGAAGGCACGGAGGAACCAGACTCCCGGAGCCAGGGAGGACCGCATCTTGCTCGGCCGGTATCCGAAGCTCAGTCGACGGAGGAGGGCGCAAGCCGGGTGCGAGTCCCAGGCCGGCTGTCAGCGGGGTTTAAATGCCCCGCCGGCCGGCCCGCCCCGGTCCCGCGGCCGGACGACAGGAGCCCCCGCCCCCTTGCACCTGACCGCCCTCCGGGTCGGGCCGGGCGCAAAGCGGCTGGCCATCCCCGGCGGGGCTCGCCGGCACCTGGGCCTTCTCGCGCTTGACCTCCGCGCCAGCCCCTGACAGCTCGCAGTTTCCGGGGCTCCGCTTGTTGCCCGCCGCCGGGGAACCCAGAGCAGTGATCCCAGACGTAATCGGCTCTGCGACGCCCCCTGCCCGCCGCTGTCCCTGCAGCACCGCCTCAACCCGGAGGAGACGGGGAACCTGGGGCAGGCTGGCGCCTGGAGCGGACCCCTGGGCGGCGGGCGCCCCCTACCAGCGCAGGAGGGGTTTCGGGGAGGGACAATACTCGTGTTTGACCCAAACCCACCTCCCAGCCTCTGGCTCCCAGACTGGGTTTGGAGGCAGCCAGGACCCTCCCACGCCCCCTTGACAGACACAGTCCTTCCAACTCCTGGCACTAACTAGCTGTCGCCCCTGCTCTCCCTTCTACACCCAGGTGGCCAGACTGCGCTGAAGGGCTACAGAGAAGGAAGGGACTTATGGCTCATAAAAGTGACTGCCTCTAGGGTGAAGATCTCAGGTATGTTTCCTCCTATAAAGAAGATATTGTGAGATCCTTTGTGATGATCCAAGGGTGAACTACAGAGGGCCGGAAAGGGAAGTCTTTGTGTGAAAAATAAAGTTGTTAATAGAACTTAAAATAGAAGTGTGTCTGTGCAAATGGGTTTCAGTCCTGACTCCACCCTGCCCCTGACTCCTAGGAGTGTCCAGGCCTAACGACAAGGTCACGGAGAAGGAGCAACAACTCCGCCAAGCAGGTGAGGACCCAGAATGATGGGATTGCCAGGCCCCAGCCCTGTTAATGCCAGGCAGTCACCTGCGGGGGGCTAGTGGCAGACACAGAGAGGGCAACAAGCCCAGGACACAAGGAGAGGAGCAGGGAGGAAAGACGGATGGAAGGCAGGCAGAGACAGCAGGTTATTTAGGGGAAGAGAGTCCAAACACCAGAGAAAGAGTGTGCCTAACAGGAGTTCACTTAATCAAATCCCTAATTACAACACCACTGTGCCTACGTGTAGTCCACTTCATTTTTATGAGTCAATTAAGTTGGGTATTATTATCTGGGCAGAGTGTCTGGATGTCCTGGTTTGCCTGGGAAATCCCTGAAGACAGCTGATGTCCCTGAATGGACGAGGGACCAGCAGAACATTAACCAGAGACTACTGGTTTCTAAAGAACAAGGGGGAAGGGATGAGTTGGGATACAAATGAGCCATGGAAGCTGCTGGGTTTTGATGCTGCACCAGAGGACATCACGGCGGGGATGGAAGAGACCATCTCCAGAGCCTCTGAGTTCTCTAGACTTCAGTCGCATCTTTCCATTTCAGAAAGAGGGAAGCCAAGGAATAAAGCTCAGTACTGCTTGTTTTTCTTGCCCATCTAGAAAAGCAGTGTTGTGCCTCCCAGCGGACCATGCTTGTCTGGTGCTGGAACTCTCAGAGAGGCATTAAGAATTTGCCCTAAGAGAGGCACTTAGCCCGTGTCCCACACCGGAGTACCAGGGTTCAATACTCAGCTCTGGCTTCTGACTCGAGCTTCCTGCTAATGCAAACCTAGGAGGAGGCGGTGATGTAATTGGGCCTCTGCCACTTACCTGGGAGCCTTGGATTGACTTCTTGGTTCCTGGCTTCAGTCTGGTCCAATCTTGGCTGTTGTGTTTGGGGAGTAAACCAGAGGATGGGAGCACACACTCACACACACACACTCACTCTCTCTCTTTCTCTGCCTCTCAAAAAAAATGAAAGAAAAGAAAAACACCCTAGTGATAATTTGTTTGTTGTTCAACAAAGAGCTGGGAAAAGGGCCAGTCCTGAAACAGGCTTTGCCTTGTCCCAGTTACTTTTGAATTCCTGAGTGTGTCCCTGTTTAGGGGCCAAGATGGCAGCTGGGACACTCCAGCCAACACAGGAAGTTTTCCACATTTGCTTCTACAGGGGGTGGGCTGAGCTCTTTGTTTCCTGCTGCTTGGTCCTCCTGTCACTCACCTCCGCAAGCTCTCCACACTTAACTCACCTTCCTCTGGTCATCTGGGCCCCTTCACACACCACCTTATCAAACCCCACAGGATGTGGGCAGTGTTGGAAGAAAATAAAGAGGGAAAGGAGGAACTATTAAAGGGAAAGATCCTCACTTCTTACAGGTGTACATCTATTGTTTGCCACAAATGCTTAAGAATGTGAGACACTTTAAGAGCTGACAGATAATGAACACTTTTTTTTTTTTTTTGACAGGCAGGGTTAGACAGTGAGAGAGAGAGAGTGAGAGAGAGAGACAGAGAGAAAGGTCTTCCTTTTTCCATTGGTTTATCCCCCAAGTGGCTGCCACGGCTGACGTGTTGCGGCCAGTGCGTTGTGCCAATCTGAAGCCAGGAGCCAGGTGCTTCCTCCTGGTCTCCCATGTGGGTGCAGGGCCCAAGGACCTGGGCCATCCTCCACTGCACTCCTGGGCCACAGCAGAGAACTGGACAGGAAAAGGAGCAACCTGGACAGAATCTGGTGCCCCAACCGGGACTAGAACACGGGGTTCCAGCGCCGCAGGTGGAGGATTAGCCTAGTGAGCCACGGCGCAGGCCAATGAACACTCTTTTTAACCCATAAAATATCAGTTCCTTTGGCTGACATGTCGTGCACTACCCATAGGACTTTTTGGGTAGCCAGTTAGCTGTTGCCACCCCTAAATTTAGATTCGGCAGCGAGTGTCCTCCCTGGTTCTTTAAGAGAGACAAAAAGACTTGAAAGTGTGAGAGAGTCTGAGAGCACATGCTATGAGAACAAACTTCTAGGCCACAGAACCCCAAGATTTCTCTACACCTAGACACAGTCTTTGAACATATCTCCTGCCTTCTGTCTTAAGAAGTATAGAATAGCAGCATCTTGTGTGTGTATGTGTGATAGAATAAAGACCCAAAGCCTCGGTGGAGGGGATGGGGTTGGGATATTAGAGGAAGTTGTGATTATTCAATCTTCTCAAGATTCAAGTTTGTCTTGGGCATTTTTATGAGAGACAGAGTGGCACAGCAAAAAGAACATGGCCTTGTTTGGAGCCAAAGCTAATCTGGCTCAGATACTACTGCTCCGAGCCTCAGTTCCCTGATCTATAAAACACGGGTAACACCTACCTTCCAAGGTGGGCTGTAAGAATTTTAAAAATGTCTATAAAAAAGCATGACGCTGCATTTTATGAAGTACACTTGGTAAGCAGAGCAATTACTACTTGTGCATGAGTTTATCTACAGCAATAGGATCATAGAGTGAATACAACTGAGAGAAAACAATGGCTGTAATAAATGGGAACAAAATGTAGGGGCCCTAAGATCAAGTTTTTAAAAATGAGTATGATAGGATAGTTTTGGCCTGCAAAATCCTTAACATCATGTGTTTGTGTGTGTATGTTTATGGGGCAGGGGCTATCTGTTTCTCTGTGTGTATACACGATTCACTGAGTTGTTACTAGCATTATGATACATGTATAATTTGAAGTTGACGAGGATATATGAATGGGTTGAGTGAGTGTTATAAAAATGAAAGAAGCTGGGGCCGGTGCTGTGCCTGCAATGCCGGCATCCCATATGGGTGCTGGTTCGTGTCCCGGCTGCTCCACTTCCGATCCAGCTCTCTGCTATGGCCTGGGAAAGCAGTAGAGGATGGCCCAAGTCCTTGGGCCCCTGTACCTGCGTGGGAGACCTGGACGAAGTTTCTGGCTCCTGGCTTCAGATCAGCGCAGCTCCGCCGTTGCGACCAGTTGGGGAGTGAACCAGTAGATGGAAAACCTCTCTCCCTCCCTCCCTCCCTCCCTCCCTCTCTCTCTGCCTCTCCTTCTCTCTCTGTGTAATTCTGAGTTTCAAATAAATAAATAAATATTTTTTTAAAAAATGAAAGAAGCTATTATTATTCTAAATGCATCAGATGCTGAAATCTCACTAAAAATAATTATGATTAAATTCCTCCCACCAACTTAGTCAAAAGATAGATAAGCAAGATGATCATGTATCCAAAAAGATATTTTTTTTCTCAATAAAATCAAAACTCTGGGCCGGCGCCGTGGCTCACTAGGTTAATCGTCCACCTGGCGGCGCCGGCATCCCATATGGGCACCAGGTTCTAGTCCCGATTGTTCCTCTTCAGTCCAGCTCTCTGCTGTGGCCCGGGAGGGCAGTGGAGGATGGCCCAAGTGCTTGGGTCCCTGCACTAGCATGTGAGACCAGGAAGAAGCACCTGGCTCCTGGCTTCAGACTGACACCACACCGGCCGTGGCGGCCATTTGGGGGGTGAACCAACGGAAGGAAGACCTTTCTCTCTGTCTCTCTCTCTCTCTCACTGTCTATAACTCTGTCAAATAAATTTAAAAATAATAATAAAATCAAAACTCTGGAAAATGCTTGGCAAAGAAAGTCCCAGCCTAAGTAGTCAAAAGGAGGGACCTCAGTCTACTGAAGACTGGATTGATAGTTAATAATGACCTGAAGAATGGACTGTACACATCAGCCAACCACCAGGCAGTCTTACTCTCAGTTGTCTACCTCTAGGTTACCAGTGGCGGCACCGGGTACATATGAGGACAATCTGAAAGCAGGCAGTCCTTATGAATGATTAAATTACTGTGATTTCCCAAAGTCACTTTGTTAGAGGAAAAATAGAAAGGAACATACAGGAATGAGAAAAGTGACATAGCTTCAGGTAGCCTAATCACATAAGCTGGGGACAACTTTTGATTGTTTTAGTATGTAACTCATTCAGTTGATCACTTACTAAATATTTGTTGAGCACCAGTTATGTGCCAGGCACAGTGCTATGCACTGAGGATATATCTACACAGGCACAGACCCAATCTCAAAGAATTTACAATCCTCCCTCAAAGGGCAAGGGAGAAGAGACCAACCCAGTTGTGCTTCAGGCCAGGGCATTAACCCACTGCATCACAATACCAGCCCCAAGCTTTGACTTTCAAATACAAAAAAAAATAAAAATAAAAATAAAAATAAAATAAAAAACATACTGAAATACATGACTTCCCTAAAAACCTCAAATACATGTACAATACATTTTTATTGTACTCCTGTCCATTTGTCCCATGTAAGTGAAAATTTCTATCCATACAAGAGCCTATACACAAACGCCTATAGTAGTATTACTTCTATTATCAAAAAAGCTGGAAATAACCACAGTGCTCTCCAAAAGGCGAATAAACTCACTGTGGTACATTCATACCATACATATACCGTTCAAACAGCTCACCAGTTAAAAAGCAATGACTCGCGGACACACAAAACAAGTTGAATGGTCCTCGATGGCATTAAACTGGGTGAAGCAAATCAATCTCAAAAGGCTGCGTACTGTATCATTTCATTATACAACATTATGGAAGTGACAAAATTATAGAATGGAAATAGGCACTGATAGACAGGAAGGGATGATGGTAGTGGGGAGGGGTGCAGGTTTTCCTTTACAGAGGTAACTCAAAGGAGAGCGTGGTGGTGATGGAACAGTTCCATATCTTTAAGATTTACTTAATTATTTGAAAGGCAAAGTGACAGAACGGGTAGAGAGAGAGAGAAAGAGGTCCTCCATCTGACGGTTCACTCCCCATTGGCCACAACAACCAGGTCTGGGCCAGGCCAAAGCCAGGAGACAGGAACTCCATTCTGGTCTCTCATATGGGCAGCAGGGGCCCAAGCACTTGAGCCATCCTCCACTGCCTTCCGATGTGCACTAGCAGGAAACTGGATTGGAAGTGTAGCAGCTGGGACCCAAACTGGCACTCTGGTAAGGGATGCTTCCATCAGAGGCAGCAGCTTAACCCACCATATTATAGCACCAGCTGCCAGTCCTGTATCATCACTGTGGTAGTGTTTACCCGAAGCACCACATGATAAAATGGCATGCACAGAACTGCACATGCGTGTTGTGCAATGCCAGCTGTGATCTGATACTGAGCTATAGCTATGTCAAATGCAACCACGGGGAGAAACTGGCTGACAGGTATCCAGAATCTCTCTAAAGTACTTTTCTAATTCCCCCATGAATCTACATTTTTTTTTTTGTTTCATAAAATTGAAAAGCTCTTTATCAACTTTCAGTTTCCTTCTAGTAGTTCTTAGTTTGTTCATTCTAGAAATGAGATGGCAGAAATTTACATTTTATCCTATTTTATTTTATAAAATGCATATGAAATTCTATGACTTTTTAAAAATTTCTAAAATTTATTTGAAGGGAGTGACATACAAAGGAGAGGGAGAGAGAGAGAGAGAATCTTCCATCTGTGTTTCACGCCCTAAATGGCCATGACAGCTGGGGCCAGGTACAGTCTGAAACCAGGAGCCAGGAGCTCCATCTGGGTCTCCCACGTGGGAGGCAGGGCCCTAAGTACTTGGGCCATCTTCTGTTGCTTTTTCAGGCACATAGCAGGGAGGGACTGAGGCAGAGCAGCCAAGACTCAAACCAGTGCTCCAATATGGGACGCTGGCATTGCAGGTGGCAGCTCGGCTCCCTGTGCCACAAGCTGCCCCAGAAATGTACCTTTTAAATATAAACCTTTGTAGACTGTGCTACGAAGCAGCATGGTCATCTGTGCATATTAACTCTAGTTAGCATCTAACTTGCCCTCATGGGTACAGAATCTAGTACTGTGCCTTAGATTCTGATCAAATGCCTTCCTCAGCACGTATGAATGGCCAAGAGGAATATTCCTCCTAATTTCTCAGACACAGCAATTTCACTTGTAGAGAACAGGCATGTCTGAATTCCCCAGTTGGGAATACATTCTTACAGCAACATGGTGCAACTAAAGGAATGAAACAGGGAGAACAGGTTCTACAAATGAAAAATGGAAATTGGGTTTAGAAATCAAAAGAATGTGATTGCAAAAAAAAATTCCGATGCTTTTCACAGACAAGGGGTGGAAGGTCTTGAAGGGAAGAGTTTTACTAGTGAGATTAAGGAAGTCCTGAATCAACAAGTCAGCACCACATCACAAAGACTGCAGCCATAGCTGTGAACTTAACTACGGCAGCCAAGGCAGGCCCCAGATCTGGAAAAATGGACTCCTCCACTTCCTCCGGCCACCAAAGCCTTCACTGTAGAATTTCTCCACACCACTGCTTAGCACTGGCCTGAGAGCCCAGGCTCTCTAGTGTACTGGTGGCATTTCTTGCAAAATATGAAAAGGGCAGATTACAAGACTCAGGAGTCAGGTCCAGGATTGACATTCCTGGGAGAAAGAGCCCTAACCCTAGACTTGCCTTCTTAGAAACTTATTCTCAGGCCCAAATCATCCCTTCTTCAGAGCGAAATACCATCTAAACGTTCACCGTATGTCAGTGTGTCCTAATCATTCCTCTCTGTTACCAAATCTTTGCCCCCATCCTAGAAATGAACGGGAATAAGTTCTTCTCCCTTTATAAGGGTTTCAGCCACAGGGAAATGGATATGCACAGGCATCTTTAGAAAGAACAGAAAACACATCAGTTTCTCTCAGGAGCTTGTCTTACTGAGTCCTTGTCTATTGCACAGAGTGAATTGAAGGTACACCATGTACATCTCAAAATTTAAAAATCCAGTCAGGTTGAAAACAGATGAACCAGGAATGGATACATAGTCCAATTACTTAACAAGTATTTTAAAAGTCAATTCTGAGGGGTCGGCACTGTGACATAGTAGGTTAAGCATCTGCCTGCGGTGCGGACATCCCATATGGGCACTGGTTCGAATCCTGGCTGCTTCACTTCCAATCCAGCTCCCTGATGAAGGCCTGGGAAAGCAGTAGAAGACAGCCCAAGTGCTTGAGCCCCGTACCCCTGTGGGAGAGCTAGAAGAAGCTCCTGGCTCCTGCCTTCAGATCAGCGCAGTTCTAGCCAATGCGGCCATCTGGAGTGAACCAGCGGATAGAAGACCTCTCTCTTTCTCTCTCTCCCTCTCTGTCTCTCTGTAATTCTGCCTTTCAAATAAATAAATAAACCTTTTTAAAAAAAGTCAAATCTGAGATTCCTTATGAAAATTTCCAGGAAAGTCAAGTTAATAAGGCCTGCATGACAAATTAACAATCTTTTTGCACCTATGGAAATGATGAAATGCAATCTGATGAGATCAGCCTTTTTTGTGATCCAACATGGTATTTCTTGGAGAATATTTTCAAAGAGTGAAGACTGGAGGAAAAATTTATGTTTCAGTGCAAAATTATGCATTGTTTAGAGGAGACCGCTCCAAAATTACCTTATTTTAGCCTATAGCTAGTTCTATGCGAACTGTTTCACAGTTCTGCAAATTGTAGTTAACTATGTGCCTCCCTGTGAATATTCAGTTCACCATTCCTGCATCCATACACATTTTTTAAAGATTTATTTATTTACTTGAAAGGTAGAGTTATGGGGGAGGAGAGAGAGAGAGAGAGAGAAAGAGAGAGAATGAATCTTCCATCTGCTGGTTCATTCCCCAGATGGCAGCAACCAGCAGGACTGGGCCAGGTGAAAGCCAGGAGCCAGTTCTTCCAGGTCTCCCATGTGGGTGCAGGAGCCCAGGGACTTCCACTGCTTTCCCAGGTGCATTAGCCAGTCTCGACTTGGCGCCCCTATGGGATGTTGGCATTGCAGCTGGCAGCTCTACCGACTATGCCATAGCACTAGCCCTGCATCCATACACATTTGTTCACTTTTCATTTTTCTTGAAATCAATCATAGCATCTATTTATTTCCCACATGAATTAAATAAAACCTTCAACACACATTCTTTTTTTTTTTTTTTTTTTTGACAGGCAGAGTGGACAGTGAGAGAGAGAGAGACAGACAGAAAGGTCTTCCTTTTGCCGTTGGTTCACCCTCCAATGGCCGCCGCGGCCGGCGTGCTGCGGCCGGCGCACCACGCTGATCCGAAGCCAGGAGCCAGGTTCTTCTCCCGGTCTCCCATGGGGTGCAGGGCCCAAGCACTTGGGCCATCCTCCACTGCACTCCCTGGCCACAGCAGAGAGCTGGCCTGGAAGAGGGGCAACTGGGACAGAATTCGGAGCCCCGACTGGGACTAGAACCCGGTGTGCTGGCGCCAGAGATGGAGGATTAGCCTAGTGAGCTGCGGCGCCGGCCTCATTTTTATATCTGTATGAATCATAATTTTACATTTTATGAGAATTGTTTTAACATATATAAAAAATTATCAGGCCGGCGCCGCGGCTCACTAGGCTAATCCTCCGCCTAGCGGCGCCGGCACACCGGGTTCTAGTCCCGGTTGGGGCGCCGGATTCTGTCCCGGTTGCCCCTCTTCCAGGCCAGCCCTCTGCTGTGGCCAGGGAGTGCAGTGGAGGATGGCCCAGGTGCTTGGGCCCTGCACCCCATGGGAGACCAGGAAAAGCACCTGGCTCCTGGCTCCTGCCATCGGATCAGCGCGGTGCGCCGGCCGCAGCGCGCCGGCCGCGGCGGCCATTGGAGGGTGAACCAACGGCAAAGGAAGACCTTTCTCTCTGTCTCTCTCTCTCACTGTCCACTCTGCCTGTCAAAAAAAAAAAAAATTATCAGGTAATACAGAAAACTTATGAACTGTATCGAGATCCTGGAACAATACCGCAGCTGAGCAGGAGTAATTGCTTCTGATTGGGAGAAGTCAGACGAGTTTTCATAGAGCTAGTTGGTAGTAGTTCTTTGCTTTAAGGGTGAATAGGATTTTAGGACTGAATTTCAAGGACATTTCAGGCAAACAAAGGGCCTGTTATTTCTCAGGGACTCTGCTGCCAACCGACTTAAACACTATTAGCCAGCACCTAGCTTCCTGCATTCCCAAGGAGAGGTCAGACTCAACCTCATGAGATTCATGTAGGAGCAATACCCAACCTGGAATCAATGCCAGCGAGTTTTCCTATCTACTCACATCATCCTCCAAGACAAGGCTTATAGTCCCACCTACTTGGTCGAAGACTGTGGTAAGTGGCTCATGAATTCAAAACAATGTGTCCTGAAAGGAGATCACAACCCATTTCCTGTATACCACATAGCAGAATGACATCACATGCTACACCACCGCCTAGAAACGCCACATCCTCTGTTGCTCGATGGGCAGGAATGCTGTGATATGGATCCAATGGCATCACACTTCTGGAATCAAACCAGGTTTCATTAACAGATCTTCATTTATGCATTTTCATTTTGCCAGTGGTTATGAGGAAGAGGTGGGTAAGGGGTTCAGAAAATGTAATACCTGGAAAAATACATGTTTATAGAACACTACCTAAGCATCCTGCCAATCATTGTTTACCTACATCAGAACACATTCCTTGCATGGATTTTCCAGTCTAAGCTGATACATGCAAGTCTATTACACTGGTAAGAAACACTTCTGCAGTTCTAAGAGACCCATGTCTAGCTAAACTACTGACTCTTGGAGTGTTGGTTCAAGATCTAAGCCTGCTCTGCCAAACTCTCTCTTCCCTTGATCTCACACTGTCAATATTGTCAATCTTTGTCTCATCCTGCTCCTTGCCTTTGTCTGTGTAATCTCCCTCTCAGTGCCCCCATCAAATACTCTCCCTGACCCAAGTTACTTGTAAGGTAGGAACGAAGAGCTACAGCTGTGTGAATAAAATTACCTGAACCCGAACCCTAAAAGACAGAGCTGTAGCACAGTTGAGTTTGATGTGCAGGACATAGAGTCCTAATGAGTGGCAGAAGTTGTGTTGGTCACTTGTAAGGCAAATGCCGTGAACTCATCAGAGAAAACACTGTGCCCACTAGGGAACATAGGGTAGGCAAGTCCTCCTCTGGCTGAAACCTAACCCAATCTTGGCAGCGTGGTAGGTGGGTGGATGTTGCCAGATGGAGGATACTTTCTTACAGCTTTGAACCAGGAAGGATTTAAATGTAGACATCATCTAATCCTCAGGTTGAGCAATAAAAAAGACACGCCAATTTGCATTTTAAATGGCCTACCCATTCATTTGGCAACTCTCTTCCCTTGATCTTCTACCTTCCAAAAAATGTAGCTTTAGTGGTAAGTAGGTTCAATGTAGGAAGCAGCAGAGAACAAAATCAAATAACCAAATGCAAATCAAATGCTAATGTTGTCGTAACATAGGGACATAGAAAACTTCTTCTTTTAGGCAGTAACACAAAAGGCCAGCCAAATTGGATGTTCCTGTGTTCCCATGTCCAACTGGCTCATTTCCGGATAAAATATCTGAAATATCAGTCAACATAAGGGAAAAAGGCCTTGCCACTTCAACTACTAACAACTAACACAAATGAGTAGGAATAATCAGATATATAGGACAGATGACACATCGTGGTAAAGATGATTATAATAAACATAGCAATTCTGATATTAGCATCCAGCATTTACTATACTTATCATGTGCCAGGCGCTATGCTAGCCACAGGTTATACACTATCTTACAAATAAATACTATTATTTTTCCCATTTTGCAGATGATGTAATTGAGGCTCAGAAAGTTTCATTTACTGCCTTAAGAGTTATGTTAATATATATTATTGATGCTAGAAATTATACAAAAATTGTAATAAAAGTCTGATGATCCTTTTGTGTTATCATTCATTATGGAGATCTTGATGTAAAGGAGGCCCAGAGGCGTAAAGGGACAAAAGTTTTGTACACCCCTTCAAGTGCTTCCTAAACTGCTGTATGCAATGAACATAAGTGGCTCTCCTTGTCAGCTAATGAGTTTTGTAAGTTTAACTATGACTACTACTAAAATCTTTCATTATCTGCAGTTTTGTATTCTGCTCTAAGGACACTTGGAATCAGATTCAGAGAAGACTCTAACAGATGTTCTTAAATACAGATTTGTGATTGCTTTAGATCAGAAGTTTCAGAACTTTGAGGGGAAAAAAAATCCATAAAACTGTTAAAGGGTATTACATAAGAATTATTTACATAAGACCAGATGAATTAATGAAATTTGTGGATTTCTAGGTCATATTTAAAATATTGTTGGTTCTGTATTTGAATGTTTTTCTTTTTCTTTTCTTTCTTTTTTTTTTTTTTATAGGCAGAGTGGACAGTGAGAGAGAGAGAGAGAGAGAAAGGTCTTCCTTTGCCATTGGTTCACCCTCCAATGGCCACCACGGCCGGCGACCTGCGGCCGGCGCACCGCACTGATCCGAAGGCAGGAGCCAGGTGCTTCTCCCGGTCTCCCATGGGGTACATGGCCCAAGCACTTGGGCCATCCTCCACTGCACTCCCGGGCCACAGCAGAGAGCTGGCCTGGAAGAGGGGCAACCGGAACAGAATCCGGCACCCTGACCGGGACTAGAATCCGCTGTGCCGGCGCCACTAGGTGAAGGATTAGCCTATTGAGCCGCGGCGCTGGTTGAATGTTCTTCTCTTCTAGGTTCAGGCAGACTTTTCTCTGTGATTTCTATTGTTTACAGTGCTTTGCTATAACATTGTAAACAGATGGAAGTGTTTACCTTTTCCCCTACTTCATTCCTGTAAAATGTGAAAACTTTTCAGAGGATTTTTGGTTGCTCGTGGCAGTATGATTGCTGGCACAAAAACAATAAGAATCTGTTCTTGTTATAAAAAGGCATAGTTAGGGGGCCAGCACTGTGGCGCAGCAGGTTAACGCCCTGGCCTGAAGTGCCAGCATCCCATATGGGCGCCGGTTCAAGATCTGGCTACTCCACTTCCAATCCAGCTCTCTGCTATGGCCTGGAAAAGCAGTAGAAGATGGCCCAAGTCCTTGGGCTCCTGCACCCATGTGGGAGACCTGGAGGAAGCTCCTGGCTCCTGGCTTCGGATCAGTGCATCTCCAGCTGTTGAGGCCAATTGGGGAGTGAACCATCAGATGGAAGACCTCTCTCATTCTCTCTGCCTCTCCTCTTTCTGTGTAACTCTTTTAAATAAATAAATAAATCTTTAAAAAAAATTAAAAGGACATAGTTGGAAACACTGGCATCTAAAATTATGCACAGAACGCCTTGACTTCAAGAGTTCCCAGCCTTGCAGTAAGTGAATGGAGTTGTCACTCTATAGTATGTCCTAAAACTTCAAAAGGTTAGAAACATAGTTTAAAAACAAAACAAAACTAAGTCTGCCTTGGACTGGCTTTTTAACTCTGAGCATTTCTGAATATGAGATTATTATATGCACTTAATATGAATAGTCAATCGACAAACTATAATACATTTGTTTTTAGATTGTGTTCATTGTTTTCAGGCTTGCTAACCTTCAGAGTTTTCTAGCTCTGATTATTCCATGTTTAGTCAATCATCCCTGCTGTACTTACATGAATGGTCAATTATAATATGTCTGCTCTTAGACTGTAACCCTGTTCATTGTTTTTAAGATGCAACCTTGATTTGTTATGTTCTTGTTGGCTTTGTTATATATTTTTCCTTTTTGAGCTTTGTGCCTCTTGCCTGTCAGAATTCTACCAAAGCACAATTCCCAAAAACATGATGCCAGCCTGGCACTTGGAGAGGATGGCTCATGCCTACAGAACAGATAAAGCTAAGTTTAACAATGGACTTCAGGTAGAGTTAGCAGAAGGATCACTCCTCCTAAAACCTCTCTGTTGCTCAAATGTAGCTAAAAGGCTTTTTGACACCCATTCCTGGTTGCCAAATACTTCTCTCCCAATATGGGACTGGATCAAAAACCAGAAAAAATAGAACCTGGCAACAAGGGACTAACGGAACATGATTCATCAGCTGCGTTTTCATAAGTGGATCTTGACCAAGAGGAAATGAGAGAATAAAAATCAAGATGGAGTCACTGGTGTCAACTCTAAACCAGGTGAGATAAAGCTGAGAGTTTATAAAGGACGGGTTCTTATGCATGATGGTATGACAGCAAACATCATGAAAGACTGCTAGAACTACATGCTCTAGAGAATGCCCCCATTTCAAAAGAGAAATGCTAACTGGATGTGATACCTGTTATTCTCACAGCTAATGCTAGAATCTGTACGCAGCACGCACAGTGAAGTCTCAGGATGCTCTTTAACCTCTTTGTACTCAAGAAGCAAGGATTGGGACTGGGAGTAATGACTCAAACTTTGGAAAAAATAAAATGACTGATGGTGTAAAATCTGGACATTGCTACCCAGGGCTGACTGATGTGTCTGAGAATAACAGCCACTTGTGCTGTACTGCAGGAGACAGGGTAGCTCACTTTTGGACAGCCCACCCCCACCGAATACAGCTCACCGTGTGCTGCCACTTCTGAAACAAGGAAGGTGACCAGCTCACTTCTGGCTATTTGAGAGATACCAAACCCTACTATCTGATAACTGAAATGTGAAATTCTAAAACTGTATCATGATTTAATCTAGCCACCTTGCCCCTAGCCCCCTCTGGGGAAACCTGTAAATAATTATAGGCTATTGAACAAGTGTGTCTTAGCAGGCTATATCTGACTAATGTCCCGTTAGACAGTATAGACAGTATTGATCTGGAACTCTTCATGGAAGGAAACAGCTTCATGGACCAGGCAAATCAAGTGTTGGAGATGCAGTAAGAACTGCCCAGGAAACTTTGCAAACAGTAGCATTGCCACCAGGTGTCTTAGCTCAGAAGGCTGAACTCAAAGCCTTCACTTTGGTTTATGCCTTAGAGGAAGCAAGAGTAAACACCCATACTGATTCCAAGTAACAACCAGATAGATCTGTCTCCCACTGCTATGATCACTTGCTACCCATCTTTGTTCATTCTAGGGATAGGGCTAAAGAGTGTGACTTTGCACATTAAAGCACTGACAAATTATACCCAATGTGTCTTAAAATGACAGTGCCACACACCCAGATTAGTGCCATGTCTGACCCCACACTAACTCTTAACCAATGGCTCTACTCCTGGTTTGGGACTAAAAGTTGTCTGGCAGAAAAATTACTAACTTCTCCAGCATTCAAGGGGTAGAAATACTAGAATGTTGTTGCTTTTATTGCTGCTGTGGAGTGGTGATAATCCATCTGCAAGGTAAAGCTGTACAGAAACTGGCTAGGCCAAACCCTCTGGTGATGCAGAGGCTCTCCAAAGCTGAACCCGGGATGAGGAACTTTCTTGAAAGATATGCCTACAACTTCCTCACCTCTTCTCCTGAAAAACCCTACTTCACTCCATAAACATCAGGAAGCTCTCAGAGCAGTCATTATCCCTAGCCCCTCAAGACTGAGGAGTAACAAGAAACAGGGGTGAACTGGGACCAAACCCCTATAATGTAAAGGCAGGACGCAGGCTCTTATCTGCTTCCCTTAGCCTAATGTACCTGTGCCTTTCATCAAAAGCAGTTCACTGCATTAAGGGAGTGTGATACACCTGGCTGTACAAGGTTCTAACCACCAGAATCAAGAAGTAATTTGTGTCTCTGATAGATAAAACCTTGATGGGCTAGTATCCAGAGGGGTTTGTAAAGGGGAATTCTAGGTCCAGGCAGGGAAATTTCAGGTCTGGGGCAGAAGGTGGCTCCCACTTGCATGTAATCTCCCAGACCAACTTAAGCCCAATTGCCATCATAAAAATTTCCTAAAGAACACGGCATTACTGACCAATCAGAGGAAGGTCAGGACCACCACTGACCAATCAGGAACATGGACATGAGCTGAACATGTACTTCTCAGCCCCATCTTCAATCTATAAGAACCTTCACCCCTCACTCTTCAGATGAGAATTCAGAAATAGCTGCCAACTCCTTGCTCTGGGCTTCACAATAAGTACCTACTGACTTCCAGCACCCTGATGTCAGTGACCGACTTTCTGCATGTCAGGTGAGCAGACCAGGTTTGGGGGTTCTATAGCAACACTTCCAACTAGCTTGGGAGGTTGTTCTGCAATAAGATCACATAGCTGGTATGTGGTAGAACCAACATTTAAACTGTGATGATAATCTTAACCATTGTCTTCTTTGAAGACAGGGTAAAGAGCTTTGAAAACAAAGAGCAATTTTTCCAACCCCAGATGCCCTGTTTAAAAGGAATATTAGATTATAAGTGGCATTGATTATCCCTGAATTGAATCACATAAAAATATTCTCTTATCCTCATCTCACCCAAAGATTTCTAAACTGCTTACCAACTAAGTTACCAATGGTATTTTGTTCTTTTTGCCATTTTTACCCTAACGTTCTTCATGGTCTTTCATCCCTGATTTCTCAACTTTTATAGACCTGAGAATTCACCAGATACGCTTCATAAAACCAGGTGACTAGGTTCTTCTCTGATTACTCAGGGTGTGGGCTATGTCAGGGAGCTTCCGCACAGACCTGGTCTCCGCAATGAACCCAATTACCATTTAACTAGTCTTCTAGAGAGGCCACAAAATGCTGTGGGTTGTAGGTTCTCATCATTGCCTGAAAGTAACTGTGTCAGAAGTCGCAGAATGGAGGGATACTAATTTCCTGTTCCCAGCTATTTGAGGGGATGGGGAAAAGAAAAGTTATAATGTTAACAGACTCCTTTCAAGATCAAAGTTTTTGAAATAAGTTACTTTAAAAAATTCCAACATGCACACTAAAGAGTGAATAATGCAATGAAAACCCCATAAACATGTTACCGAGAATCACTATTATCAAGCTTTTACTACATTTACTTCATCTTTGTTGTCCCACTTTATTGGTTTTAAAGTAAATCTCAAACACAATTTATTTCATCCCTGTATACTTCAGTATTCCCTGTCTATCTACAGATAGATATAGTGTGTATCATTCATACACATAGATGTAGATATAGATACCATGTACAACCACAGCACCATCCTCATTCCTAACAAAGTGAAAAAATGAGACTTCAAATTCTCCTGACTGATTCAAAGTCATCTCGTCCAGACTATTCCCAGCAGGGTCCAAACAAGGTCCATGGATTCTATTTGGTGGTTGACACCTCTGCAAATGCATGCACTATATTTGGTGACTTTATCTCTGCAAATCTATTTTAATCTAGAATTACCTCCTTGTCTGTTTTAATGTAAACCATTAACTTGCTGGAGAAATGGGGTCAGATTTCCTACAGAGTGGCCAATATTCTGGATTTCTGTTTCTGCTTCATAGAATTTAACTTGCTTCCCTCTCTATTTCTTATAAATGGAATCCTCAAGGCTTTTCTCTTTACATATTGTCCTCATTTAAGCCAGAAAATGATTTGAGTGACTATTTTCTCAATCCCCTCAAGGATGGTGTCTGACTAGTACCATTCTAGATGAATAGAAGTTAATTTATTACACACAATGGATTCCTTAGAGAATTAGGGCTTAATTTTCTCCTGGAACCCAGATGAGAAAGGCTGAGAGGCTTGATTATACTCAGTTTCAACCTCTTGTTGGCACAAGTACTTGATAGGAGGCATTATCTCCCTCCTACTGCATCTTAGCAGGAGGCACACAATGTCTGCTTCTCTTTCAGTGGTGCTGGGATGGATTAGTGTGTTCGGCTGATGACTGTGTCTAGTAGGTTCATCTGTGAGTGATCACTGCAGGTGTTTGAGCCTGGGGGCACACATGGAAAGAACTGAGTGAAAACTCCTCCAAGACCCAGCTCATCTTGGGGCCTGGAAGGGGTGGCTCATGAGGTACAATACCAAATCGTTTTTATCAAAAGGAATCAGATTGACTTCTTTTCTTTGGCATACTGCTGTAATAGTGGTCAGTAATACTAAGTGTAAGACCAGAGAGGGACCATTCATTTCTACCCTAACACAGCATTAGAAATCTAAATCAAAATACTTAAACATCTTCCACCCAGAATGGGCCTACCATGGCAGGAGGATATTGGCTATTGTCTTCCACTGTATTTCTAGTCTCCCAATCTGAGAAGCATGAAGAAATGTCCAAGATGAGATACAAAGCAAATTATATTCACTACGCTTAGAGGGAAATGAAAAGAAATATTTTGCTTCCTGAAACAGAATCTAACAGAAAAAGGATACCTGCTACCTCCTTTATCAGACCTCACATGGTAGAGGATGACAGGATGACAGCAGCAGTTTCTAATCTGCACACTCAGGGGTGGTCAATAAAGTTGTTGATAGTCTTATTCCTGCCCATTATAAAAGGCTAAATAGGGAAGGGTGAGGCCTGGATAATTCAGTTATACGCTACAATGCAAGGGAGAGGACACAGAAATTTACTAAATCAAAAAATCTGGAATAGGCTGTTTGAAGTTGGACTGCCTAGGAAAACACGTCTTACATGCTTTAGAGGGTGGTTCTCACTGGAACACTAAGACAGGAACATCCTGTGCTAGCACCACAGTCTTGGAATCACCGCCATCACATACATGCTTCCATCTCTTGATACGGATACTAGAGATTAATAAAGTTCCCTTCTGGCCGAGAGCCAGAGAGACCTCCTACTCTCCTATACCTTTCTTTTGCGCGCTCCTATTCCACTGCAACCTAATGAATTTGCATCTATGCTAACAACACGATCAGTCTTGGAGTTCCAGCAGACAATGAACCTGTGTCACCCTTATCTCACTAGTGGTAAAACTCACCACCAGTCCACACCTCAGCACGAAGAGCAAATGAATAGAAAAACTTGAGAGTGAGGTCAAAAGTATAAAACATAATTAAAAAATTCACAGAATTGTGGAGCTACAGGGGAGAGGCAGGTGGCTTAGTATAACCCTTTATTTTACACAGGAGAAAACTATTGCAGAGAGATACTATTTTCTCCCATAGTGGCAACGAGGGAATGCAAAACAAAATAAAAATATTCCAATGACTATTGAGTAACGATCACAAACATTAGGTAAAATGACTAATAGTGTAGAAACATCTAGAAAAAAATCCCCTTTCTTTGGAATGTACAATCTAATCAGGAGAGAGAGAAAATGAACATTAAGTAAAAGGCATACTGTCTAACAGAGCAATAAGCATTATGGAGAAAAAGCTCGAAGACAGGGATAAGGGAGTATTTGCTGGAGGGGATGGGAAGGTTCTATTTTCTTTTTTAGGTTTATGTATTTATTTGAAAAGCAGAGTACCAGGGATAGGAGAAGGGAGAGGGAGAGGGAGAGGGAGAAGGAGAGGGAGAGGGAGAGGGAGAGGGAGAGGGAGAGGGAGGGAGAGAGAGAGAGAGAGAAAGAGAAAATCTTCCATCCACTGGTTCACTCCCCAAATGACAGCTACAAGTGGGGACTGGGACAGGAGCCTGAAATTCTACGCAGACCTCTCACATGGTGGCAAGGGCCAAAATACTCAGGCCATCATCTGCTGCTTTTCCAAGCTCCCAAGCAGGAGAACTGGATTTTAAGCAGAATGGCCAGGACTCGAATCAGAACTCCCATAGGGGATGCAGGCATCACAAGCAGTGGCAACCCACTGCACCAGAAAGTCAGCCCTGGGATGACTGCATTTTAAAATAGGAAGGTTGTCGCTCCCCCTCTTCGTGGAGGAACGACACAGGACCCTGCGCTGTTCTTTCGTCTGCTCGGCCCTCCCCGGGTTTGCTGCTGGTTCTTCCCGGGTTGGCTACTATCCCTTCCACCTCCGTGGAAGGGCAGTTCCCCCTGGCCACATTCCCCACTTCCGCAGGGGAGCGGCACACTGCCGGCCGGCTCTTCTCGGGGGCTGCACAGGTGTTCCTTCAGCTAGATGTTCCCCTTAGATGTTCCTGGTGCATGCCGTCTCTCTCCTCCTTTATAGTCCTCCTCCGCCAATCCTAACTCGGCTGCCCACACGCCGAGTACGCTGCTCTCCTCCAATCAGGAGCAAGTCCTACAGTTTATTGGTTGAACTGGAGGCAGCTGTGCGGAAGCTGTTTACTTCTCTCCCAGCGCCATATTGTGGGAGAGCAGATGCATAGAATAAGTCTTAATTCCAGTAACTCAGTCCAGTCCGGTTTGCTCCCCACAGAAGGTCAGTAAAAAATCAAAAGAGGTAAAGGTGTAGGTCAAACACTGTCTCAGGGAGAGGAGTCCCCAGCCAGAGCAAACAGCAAATGAAAAATCCTCAAGCAAAAGCATCCCTGGAATATTTAAGGAAAAACAAGGTCAATATGGCTGAGCAGAGGTAGGAAGGAGGAAAGTAGTGAGAGGCAAAGCCTCAGGAGCAGTCAATATCTTATTTTAGAGCCTTGTGTAACACTGTGCAAACTCTAGGATTTTTTGTTGTTGTTGTTTTATTTTTTGAGAGAGCAAGTAAGAGATATTACATTCCCTGGTTCACTCCTCAAATCCCCACATGGGGGCTGGTGTTGTGGCATGGTGGATAATGCCTGCAATGCCAGCATCCCATATGGACACCAGTTTTTGTCACAGCTGTGCCATTTCTGATCCAACTCTCTGCTAATGGCCTGGGAAAAACAGCAAAAGATGGTCCAAATATTTGGGCCCCCGTGGGAGACCTGGAAGAAGCTCCTGGCTTTGGCCTGGCTCAACTCTGGCTGTTGTGGTCATCTGGGGAGTGAACTAGCAGATGAATACTCTCTCTCCCTCTCTCTTTCTGTGTGTGTCTCCTTCCATTTCTGTAACTCCAACTTTAAAATAAATGACTAAATATTTAAAAAATAATGCCCATAATGGCATCAGAGTGGGGAGGGGGGGTTGAAGCCTGGAACTCAGTCTTCAACTGCTTGAGCCATCATTGCTGCCTCCCAGGGTCTGCATTAGCAGGAAACTGGAGCACAGAGTCAAACCAAGGTACTCCAATGTGGGCCAGCACCCCAACTGCTTGGCTAAGTACCTGCTCTAGGCCTCCAGCTTTTCATGAGAAAATGAACAGTCAAAAGAGGCTTTGATCAGTAGAGCGGTGTGATCTTATTCATTCTGAAAGGTCTATTTTGGATGCCTGGCTAAGAACAATCTACAGGGTGCAAGGATGGAGGCAAGAAGATCAACTAAGAGGCTACTCTTCTGCAATAACTCAGGTGGCACATGATGACTTGGACCACAATAGTGGACAGTATTGGAAAACGGTTGTATTTTGAGTATATTTTCAAGGTACAGGCAACAAAGACTGTAGAGGAGTGATATAAGAAAGCAGGAGTGAAGGCTGACTCCATGTGTTTTCTGCCAGAAGAAATGGAGGATGGAGATGTCAATTTTTGTGCTGGGGAAGACTATAAGAAACAAGCTTTATACTGGTTGGTTTGATTGGTGTTGGTGCGTGTGTAGGGGGTGACCAGAAGGCTGGGTTGGGGTATGTTAAGTTTAGCTACTGTACTGAAAAAATACAGAGGTTCAAGCAGGAAGATTACTTAGGAAACACAACAATCCATGGAAGAGATGATAGTGGTTTGGACAGGTCTGGCAGTGGAAGTAATGTAAACTGCATATACATTTGGAGGTGGAGCTTATGCAACTTGCTGATGGAATACTGAAAGATGAGAGAGAAAGAATTCTACAAAAGTTTTGGCCTCAATAAGCAGAAAGACAAAACTGCTATTAAATGATATGGGGAAGACCCACAGAAGAGTATATTTGAGAAAGATAAATGTGGAAATGTCAAGAAGGCAGTCAGTGGTCTAGAGTTTAGGGGAAAGGTATGAATTAAAGATAGACATTTTGGAGTTGTTAGTATGTAGTTGATATTTTAAGCCATCAAACTAGGGGTAGCCATTGTGGTAGATGGGTTAAGCTGCCCCTTGGGATGCCCACATCCCATATCGGAATGCTTGTTTGAGTTATGGCTACTCTGCTTCCAATCCAGCTTCCTGCTAATGAGCCTGGGAAGGCAGCAGATGTTGGTCCATGTACATGGCTCCTTGCCACCCACATAGGAAGCCCAGATGGAATTCTTGGCTCGTAGCTATGGTCTGTCCCAGTTCTGATTGTTGCAGCCATTTGGAGAGTGAACCAGCAGATGAAGCTCTCCCTCTCTGTCTCCCTGTCACTCTGCATTGCAAATAAATACATACATAAATAGATCTTTTTTAAAAAAAAATGACACTAGAAGAGATAAGATAGAAAAGACATCCAAGGACTGCACCCTGGGTTACTCTAATATTAAGAGAATGGGGATGGGGAACATAATAAGAGAGGAAACTAAGAAGCAATGGACAGTTAAAGTTGGAAGAAAAATAAAAACCTCTGGTGTGGTAGAAATCAGGTGATCAGGTACATCAGAAAGAAAGATTGATCAATTGTATTCAATCCTGTTGACAGCTCAATAAGATGAAGTCTGAAAATGACAACTGGATTTAGCAATGTGGAAGTCACTGGTGACTTTGAAAAGCACACTTTCATTAGAGAAGCAAAGGCAAACTGTCCTATTAAAACGCATTCAGGAGAGAATGAAGAGAGAAATAGAAGAAGAAAGCACAGACCACTCAAGGAGTTTTGTTACAAAGGGAAGCAGAGAAGTTTGGTGGTGGTTAAATAAATATGTGAGATAAAGAAAGGTGCTGTTTTCTCTTTTTTTTTTCTTTCCAGTTGGACAGTTTCTAAGATGGGACAAGTTACAACAGATTTATATACTTATAGGAATACTTTAGTAGTCAGGGGGAAATTGATGATCTAGAAGAGAGTGGGAAGAAATGGTGAGGCAATGTCCTTGAGTAAGTGGGAGGGAAATGGATCCTCCCACGTACCACTGTAGATAGGAGAACAAACAGTTCATCCACAGGAACAAAAATGAACAGAAACAAGTAACGGCAGATATGATAGCAAGAGCTGGAGGACTGCTCAAGCTTTTGCCTGCTTGGCTTTTTTAGTGATATGGAAAGCACTGTCACCAGCAGAGAGTGAAGACGAGGAAATCTGAAGAAAGAAAAGAAATGAAATTGTTACCAAATTCATCAATAGATTTAATGCAGTCCCAGCTGGCTGTTTTGTAGGGGAGTGATCTTAAAATTCATGAAAATGCAATGGACTAAGAAAGGAAAACAATCCTGAAAAAGAACAAAGGGGGAAGATACACATTTCCTAACTTCAAAACTAACCACTAAACTACAGTAACACGACAGACTGTTCGGGCCTAGAATACACATACAGATCAATGGGATGGGACTAAGAGCTCAGAAACGAATTCCTACATCTCTGGTCAATTCAATGCAGGGCACAGAATAATCTTTTCAACAGATGGTGCTAGGACAGATTACCCACAAGGAAAAGAATGAAAGAGGAGCCCTATCTAACATCATACACAAAAGTCCACTTGAAATGGTACACAGGCCCAATCTAAGAGCTAACTCTTTAAGACTTAGGAGAATACGCAGGAATAAATCTTTGTGATTTGGAGTTGGGTAATGGTTTCTTAGATATGATGACTAAAGCAAAAACCACAAAAAGAAGAAATAAATAAACTGGGCTTCACCAAAATTAAAAACTTCTATGCTGTAAAAGAGACTGCTAAATCATGTAATTTGATAAAAGAACTCCATGTAGAATAAATTAGGGACTTCTGTAACTCAATAATAAAAAGACAAATAACTCAATTATAAAATGGCAAAGCTTCTGAAGAGACAGTTTTCAAAGAAAAGATATAAAAATGGCCAATAAGTCATGAAAATATGCTCAACATCAAGAGCCATCAGGATAATGCAAATTAAAACCACAATGAGATACTACTTCACACTCACTAGCATGGCTACATAATCAAAGGGACAGACAATGACAAGCTTGGTGAAGATGTGAAGATACGGGCACATCTTCACAATGGTAGAATTGTAAACTGGTATAGCCACTTTGGAAAATAGGTTATAGTTTCTCAAAATGTTAAACATAGAGCTCTCTTATGACCCAACACTCCTAGGTATATACTCAAGAGAAAGGAAAACCTATGTTTACAGAAAAACTTGCAAAACAAATATTCATGGCAGTATTCTTAATATCCAAGAAACAATATAAATGTCCAACAACTGATGAAAGGATAAACAGTATGCATTATAACCTAAAATGCAATATTATTCAGCAATAAGAAGCAGTGAAGCACTGATACATACTAAAACTGGCATGAATCTTGGAAGCGTAAGTGAAAGAATTCAGACACAAAATATATTATACATTCCATTTATGTGAAAAGTACAGAATAGGCTAATCTATAGAGATAGAAAGTAGATCAGCAGATGCTAAAGGTTGAAGGGAGGTTTTGGAGATGAAAATGGGGAGTGACTACTAATGGGTATGGGAGGTGTTCTTTTTTATTTTTAAAGATGTATTGTGTTAAAAAAAAAAAAACCTCTAAATTTCACCATTGTAATTATTCTTTCTTTATTTGAAAGGTAGAACACACACACACACACCCATTTGCTGCAACAGCTGGAAGTAGGCTCACCTGGGTGGTAGGGATTCAACCACTGGAGTCATTAACTGCTGTCTCCCAGTGTTGCATTAACAGGTAGCTAGATTGAAAACACAGAAGTTGGGACTCTAACCAGGCACTCCACTATGTAAAGTCGGCATCCTATGTAGTGGCTTAACTCACTGTACCACAATATTCACCTGTATAACCATTCTTTGTTTAAATATTTATTTATTTGAAATGCAGAATGAGAGAGAGACAGACAGACAGAAAGATATCTTTCATCTGGTTCATTCCTCCAAATGGCTACAAAGGCTGAGACTGGGCCAGGCAAAAGCCAGGAGCCCAGAGCTACATCTGGGTCTCCCACGTAGGTGGCAAGGGTCCAAATACTTGAATCAACTTTCACTGCTTTCCCTGGTGCATGAGTAGGGAGCTGGACTGGAAGGGGAGCAGCCAGGACTTGAACCAGCACTCATATGGAGATGACAGTGTTGCAAGCGATAGTTTAACCCATTGTACCACAATGCAGGCCCCAGTAACCCAGTAAGAATGTTAAGTGCTCAGTAATGTTAAGTATATTTACACAGTTGTGAAACAGATCTCCAGAACTTTTTCATTTTGCAAAACTGAATCTCTATACCCATTAAGTGATAAGTCCTCCTGTCCTCTTAGCCCTAGCTCCTGGAAACTATTATTTTGCTTTCTGTCTCCATAAATTTGAATGAGTAGAATCATACAATACTTTTCCCTGACTGCTTTATTCATTTAGTATGATGTGGCAGCATGTGACAGGATTTCCTTTGTAATCTCAACTGTTATTCTATTGTTATGTATGTACCACATTTTGTCCATCCACTCACTCATTGAGGTTTCTTTTATGTCTTGGCTGCTGTGAATAATGTTACTATAAACACAAGTTGAGCAAATATCTGTTTGAGATTCTATTTTCAGTTCTTTTTGATACATAATGGCTCATGGAGGCTTCTTTTTAGAATAATGACAATGTTCTAAAATTTGATAGTGGTAATGGTTGCACAACCATGTGAACATACTAAAAAAACACTGAACTGTATACTTTAAATAGGTACAATGTGTAAGATATACTAATTATACCTCAATAGAACTATAAAAACCACAACTCTAAAGGCTAAATCAAATATATAGTTACCCCCAGGATTCTGACTGAACTAGAAAATCAATCTGTTTAAATAACCAGTCAATAGGCAATGATCTGGACAGACATGGAAGCATTTTTGGGACATAACCTAAGTGCTCCTTCAGCACTGCACATTATGGAAAGCAGGAAAAAGAAAACTGTCAGTATGTGTCCTTAATTCCTAATATTAAGCCTTTTCATATTTCGTGTTAGGGAATACTATGTAAAAGTAACAAATTCATATAAGCCACAGCAATTTTGCTCTGTAGGCATGTCATTCATCAAATTTTAAACATTTGGTTAGCTATCTGAGAGGAAGAGATGGAGGGAGAGACCATTCCTACCCATTGGTTCACTTCCCAAATATCCAAAGCAACCAGGGCTTGTCTGAGTTGCCGCTGGAAGTGGTGAACTCAATCCAGATCTTCCATATGGGTGGCAAGAATCCAACTACTGGAGCCATCACTGCTGCCTCTCAAGGTCTGCATCAGGAAGCTGGAATTAGGAATGAACCCTGGTATTCCGATGTGGGGCTTGGGTACCTTAACTGTTAGGTTACACATCTGCCTCACTGGATTTTTTTTACGATAGGGAAACAAGGCAGGACTTTGCTCACTTTAAATTCAGATTCACGTTTTTGAAATCTCACGCCCAGTTATTTCACGTAGAAGATATTCAAAAGACAGATTTATTTGTCTCTATGTTTGTAATAAAAATTATACAACTATAAAGCTCTGTGTTCAATGTCACTGAATGGGGAAAGAGGTGATAAATTTTTTAAAAAATGGAAAGAGAAAATTTTGCGATGAAATTGTGCATCCAATTCAGATTCTTCTCACCTTTAGTGGTTTTGCAACAAGAAAAGCTAATGGCAATACAGATGGCCACTGATGCTCAGAAATTCATTTCATCACTTTGTTTTCTGTTTTATCCAGACATTCTCAATATGTCAAGATTCAAACACACAATTGTAGAAAGATGATCACTGAAATAATCTCAAAGATTTCTCATGGCTTCTTCTGATCAGAGCAAAGTAAAAGAACTTATTTGTCTGATCATTTTTAAAATAATAAGCTCTACACAGTTCACAAAGAAGAGGCAAGTTTGCAAGTCAACTTACACTTCTTATATAAGCATTCATGAGGCAGAGATTGAAACAACCTCTGATCTAATTAAAGAGAAAGTTATTTTACAGAAGAGTATTTCTCCTCAGATTATACATCTTACACATTTTAAAGCTTTTCCTAAACAATCTCTCAGGGTTCATTTTGAATGAAGGCTCAAATATAATGAGTTGATTTCAGATTCTTACTACAGATTTTTCAAAGTCCGTCTGTGAGCAGAAGCAAAATTATGAATGGCAATTCGAAGAGTTGAGTTTCCCTCAGAGATATCACAGGAATTGATGACTGAATGTAGTGCCCGATTATATGCTGCAAATAAAAGTTTGCACAGTGGTAAATAATCAAATGCTAAACAATTCTCTTACCTTATTTTCTATTAGCACTGCTTCTCTACTTGTAGTTTCATATTAACTTTACACACTCAATAAATATTTACTGAATATTCAGATATGACAAGCATTCTGTGAGGACATTAAAGATAATGGAGAGGATGAACACAAGAATACTGAACTGAATGTAATACTTCCAAACAGAGGCATAAACAAAATGCCACCCCCAGAAAGATATTGTAAGGATTGAATAACTATTTGGAAGAGGACAGAAAAGATTTCCAGAAGTGGTAACATTCAAGGTTAGCTTTGAAGGATTAATCAGAGTAAAAGAAAGAAGACATTGTTGTCGCTCCCCCTCTTCGTGGAGGAACGACACCAGGCCCCTGCGCTGTTCTTTCATCTGCTCGGCCTTCCCCGGGTTTGCTGCTGGTTCTTCCCGGGTTGGCTACTATCCCTTCCACCTCTGTGGAAGGGCAGTTCCCCCTGGCCACATTCCCCACTTCCGCAGGGGAGCGGCACACCGCCGGCCGGCTCTTCTCGGGGGCTGCACGGGTTCCCTTAGATGTTCCCCATAGATGTTCCCGATGCATGCCGTCTCTCTCCTCCTTTATAGTCCTCCTCCGCCAATCCTAACTCGGCTGCCCACACGCCGAGTACGCTGCTCTCCTCCAATCAGGAGCAAGTCCTACAGTTTATTAGTTGAACTGGAGGCAGCTGTGCGGAAGCTGTTTACTTCTCTCCCAACGCCACATTGTGGGAGAGCAGATGCATAGAATAAGTCTTAATTCGAGTAACTTAGTCTAGTCCGGTTGCTCCCCACAGATCCCCCTTTCTTTTTATTTTTTAGCGTTGATACGCACCTGTCTTCGGTGTCCCGCGGCACACACTCTGCTCTACTTGCTAGAGTTGCCACAGGCTCTTACAAGTCCTATCAGGCAAACCGAATCCGGGTCCTCTCTTCGCCATGTTGTGAGGAGGTTTTTAGGCACTGATGCATGCCTGTGTTCGGTGCCCTGCAGCTCATGCTCTACTCTGCTAGAACTGCCTGCAGGTGCTTACAAAACCTATCAGGCAAACCGAATCCAAGCCTTCTCATTGCCGTATTGTGGGGGAGACTTATTAGTGTTGGTTTGTGCCTATCTTCGGTGACCTGCAGCTCATACTCTGGTCGAGCTGCTTGCTGGCGCTTACCGCCTTAATTAGGCAGACCGAATCCAAGCCTCCTAATTGTTGCATTGTGGGGAAGCTTTACTGATGTTAATTCGTGCCTGTCTTCGGTGACCTGCGGCGCATAAGCTGCTAGCCGCCGCAGGTGCTCATCGTGCTCATCGCCTCACTTAATCAGGCAGGCCGAATCCAAGCTTTCTCATTGCCATGTTGAGGGGAGGCCTTATTTTTCTCTATTTCTCTATCTCCGGGCATTCCTATTTCTCCCATTTTACTTCTGTCTCCCAACATTCCTATTTCTCTCACTTTACTTCTAAACTTCTGTTTCTCTTATCCCTGCAGCTTCCCGGCGCCTCGCCCTGCCGGCAGGCTCCCGGCTCTGCGCTGCTTCAGCCCGCGCGCCTCTCTCATCTGCGCAGCTTCCCGGCTTTGCGTGGCTCGGCTTCGCGCGCTCCGCGGTCTCCACGCTTAACCCTTTCGCGTCTGAACCACAGCCTCGCGCCAGCCCCGTTCCCTATCTATTCACGCCCCGTGCTCTCTGCACGCGGCGGCTTCCGCGAGTAACACAGCGTAGCTTACGTGTCCGCCACTAGCATTCAATCTAAGTTCCCCGGGCTAGCCTGGCGAATTCAACCCAGCGTACGTCTCCGCCCCACGGTTTGGCTTCCCGTCCTTTGCTCCCCGGGCTAATCAGACGGATCCCAATCTGGCTTACGTCTCAGCTTCTGGTTTCAACTTTTCGCCCCCTATTCCCGGGCTAACTTGAGAATCCCAAAGTGGCTTTCGTGTCCGCCTTGGCCTGCCCCCCACGGCTTCAATTTCCCTAACATTTTTCTCTACCCGGTATGTTTCCCCAAGCTTTCCTCCAACAATATTCCTCCCTCATTTCACCTGGCCTCTCCCCACAGTCCGCATCCGAGTCTGTTTGTTCTAGCTTTCACTTTCGCTTTCGACCTTAGAGATTTCTCCCAGCTTCCCCCCGTAGTCCGTATCTGAGTCTATGCCTAGGCTTTCAATAGCTTCTTCCGGCACCCTTTTCGTCCGGCTTTTCCCTAGGCTGTTTGCTAGTCTCTCTCTCCGATATTTTCCCTAGGCTGTTTGCTAGTTTCTCTCTCCGATATTTTCCCTAGTTCTTCCTAGGTTTCCTATCCGAGTTAGGTTTCCTATCCGTCCTAGGTTTTCTATCCGAGCTAGGTTTCCTATCCGAGTCACGGCACCATTATGTCGCTCCCCCTCTTCGTGGAGGAACGACACCAGGCCCCTGCGCTGTTCTTTCGTCTGCTCGGCCTTCCCCGGGTTTGCTGCTGGTTCTTCCCGGGTTGGCTACTATCCCTTCCACCTCCGTGGAAGGGCAGTTCCCCCTGGCCACATTCCCCACTTCCGCAGGGGAGCGGCACACCGCCGGCCGGCTCTTCTCGGGGGCTGCACGGGTTCCCTTAGATGTTCCCCATAGATGTTCCCGATGCATGCCGTCTCTCTCCTCCTTTATAGTCCTCCTCCGCCAATCCTAACTCGGCTGCCCACACGCCGAGTACGCTGCTCTCCTCCAATCAGGAGCAAGTCCTACAGTTTATTAGTTGAACTGGAGGCAGCTGTGCGGAAGCTGTTTACTTCTCTCCCAACGCCACATTGTGGGAGAGCAGATGCATAGAATAAGTCTTAATTCGAGTAACTTAGTCTAGTCCGGTTGCTCCCCACAATTGTAAGTGGAAAACTCAGCGTATAAGGTACAAACGGGTTTTTCAAAAATAAGCCACTTACTGGGGATAACAAGTTTGATATGGGACCTGGGACCAGAGAAAACATGCTGAACATGCCGTGCATTTGGTAATACAATGGAGAGCCCTAGAGGTCCTAGAATTGGGGAATGCCATGATCAGATTTGTGTTTTTAAAAATATAACTCAGAGGACCCATAAGAAACTCATATTACACAGATAAGGCACCAGGAATACAAATAATGGCAGTATTTTCAGTGTGCACATGAGACCTACTTAATGTCTACCCTGTATAAATCAATATATTTAAGGATGAACAGGAAACAGAAACAATAAGTGACAATAAGGATTCCATTTTCTCTAGCTGGGATTTCCGACAGAATTTATACTGTTGTTCCTTTTCCTCAGTGTAGCCTGGAACACCTGGCAGTACAATGTGGATACTTTCGGTAGTGAATCTATACTAGGTGCCATTAAAGCATCTGGATAACAGGGAATTCAAATGAAGAGTCCTAAAGTAGACAGCCACAAACGGCAAATTGTAATAGTCTGAAAAGAAGGGACCTGGAACCCAAGTCTCTCTACAGTGAATGAGCTAGAAATATTTCCCCAGCACAAATGAGGACAAGAAAATAACAGATCTCAAAGAGAACTATAACTCACTACAATTATTATTTTGCCTCTTATAGTTGAATTGTAAAGAGGTTATAATAACCTCTGATACATAGTAAGTACTCAAAACATGCTAAATTACTATTATTTTTATTTTTTTTTCTTAACTGCCATTAGGCCTCAACTATTCCTTTAAGAAACCTACCTCTGTGGTTTTTATAGAAGATACAATTGTTGGCACAGGTATCAGGATGAGCATCCCAAAAATCAGGACCACAACAGCATAGTGGAGGTAAAGTAATATTATATAGCCGCATTTTCTCCTGGATCTGGGCTCGTAAAGCTTCCACATATCTATAAAAATATAGCATAATCAGGCAAAGTGAACTACAAGGAAAAGAATGAGCATGAATCCTGATTTTACAACCAGATTTAACTCTTAAAATTGTTTCATATGTCCGCCTCAATTCTCCCTCTTTGTGTTGGGAAAGAGCACTGGGAAAACACAGTGCTATTCTTGAGAGGTATTAATGCATAGAGAGACTTGGCAAGGTTGTGTACGTCTAAATGAGGAAGAGTATAAGAAGACAGTAAGTTCTCTTTTAAGGAAAATGAGAACACCAACTGCCTACAAAGTCTCTTTAGAGCGAGAATTTCACATATAACTTTTCAAATTACCTTAAATATTCCTTTTCTCTCTGTTGCTGCTTTTCTCTAGCTCCTTTTTTTTCTTCAAGTTGTAACTGGGCTAGTTTCTCACTCATCTTTTCCCCTGAACATGGTTCTTTGTGAAGGTTCTCTCTTAGGACCCTCTGCTCTTCAGCATAACGTTCTTGCTCTTTCTTTTTCTTAATTCTGAGAATAAAATCACAACATGGTTAGGGATTTCATAAAATTGCTATTTAAAATTAGCTGTGAGTTCCAACTAACTCAAGAAATTCCCAGAAACAAAGGAGCCAGGAAATCAGTTTAACACTCCAAGAGTATCTTCAAAAATTCCCACTGGCTAAGAGGGTGGAAACTTAATCAATTATGGTGTTTAGTGGTAGAGCCTGTGGGAAGGGACTAAGATTAAATTAGTTTGTTGCAATGGCCCCCCAGTGATTGACTCCTGGTGGCTTTATATCAGAGACCACAGAATCAGGACCCACACGTGTTCCCTGTATTGCCATGTGATGCTCTTTGTCACTGCCAGCAAAAACATCACCAGAGGCCTAACCAATGAGGCCTGACTGATCTTTAACTACGAATATCCAGATGATGAGCCAAAATAAACAGTCTCTACTTTGTAAAGTTAGGCTGCCTCAGCTATTTCATTATAGTGAAGATAGGATGACTAGTACACTTTCCTCAATTATTGATTGGATAAGTAGACAGAAAAATGGCAAAGATATTATAGAATTGACCAACACTATTAACCAACTTGACCTAGTAGACATTTATAAAAACACCCTGCAGCACTTACAGAATAACAGAATACTTATTATCCTATTGCAAAAAACTAGGGGGCCAGCATTGTGGTGTAGTGGGTAAAGCCACCACCTGCAATGCTTGTGTCCCATATGGGCACCAGTTAGTGTCCCAGCTGCTCCACTTCTGATCCAGCTTCCTGCTAATTGCCTGGGGAAAGCAGCAGAAGATGAACCAAATGTTTGGGCCCCAGCCACGCATGTAGGATACTCAAAGGAAGCTCCTAGCTCTGGCTTCAGCCTGGTCCAGCCCTGGCTGCTGTGGCCATCTGCAGAGTGAACCAGCAAATGGAAGAGCTCCCTCTCTCTGTTGCTCTTCATTTCTCTGTAACTGACTTTCAAATAAATATATAAATCTTAGGAAATGAGAGGGAGAAGGAATTAGAAGGTATTTGAACTGAATTAAAATGAATGTATTGGATGTTGCTAAAAAAGTATGTACTAGCACATTTATAGCACTGTCTACATCAGAAAAGGGGGGGGGGGTGTCTCAAATCAAAAACCTTAGACTGTATCTTAAGAAAATTAAAGCAGAGAAAATCAAATCCAATGCAAGCAGAAGAAATAATAGAGATTGAAGCAGAAATTAGTAAAATAGGAAACAGAAAATAGAGAAAAAATAATGAGACCAAAATCCAGTTATTTGAAAAGATTAATTGATAAATCTCAAAGCAGTCAACAATTTGTGAAAACACAAATTGCTGATATCAATACCTAGATATTAAAAGGGTAATAGGAGACTACAAATAATAATTAATGCTAATAAAATTGACAACATAAATGGGAAAACCTCTGAAAGACATTAATTACTAAAGCTCACTCAAGGTAAAAAAGATAACCTTGAACAACATTATTAGTGACACTGAAACTTATAATTAAGAACCTTTCTACAATGAGAAGTGCAGAATCAGATTGATTCATTGACAAACTCTACCAAATACTTAAGGAAAAATACCAATTGTATATAAGCTCCTTCAACAAAATTGGAAGTAAAAAATACTTTTCAACTCATTCTATGAGGCCAGCAATACCCAGAAACCAAAACTTGAAAGAGATATTACACAAATAAAAGTAAAAGCTAACATCTCTCAGAACATAGATGCAAAAATTCTAAACAAAATTTTAGCAAATATAATTAAACTATATATTTTTATTTTATTTTATTTATTTATTTATTTGACAGGCAGAGTGGACAGTGAGAGAGAGAGACAGAGAGAAAGGTCTTCCTTTGCTGTTGGTTCACCCTCCAATGGCTGCTGCGGCCGGCGCACTGCGCTGATCCGATGGCAGGAGCCAGGTACTTATCCTGGTCTCCCATGGGATGCAGGGCCCAAGCACTTGGACCATCCTCCACTGCACTCTTGGGCCACAGCAGAGAGCTGGCCTGGAAGAGGGGCAACCAGGACAGAATCCTGCGCCCTGACCGGGACTAGAACCCGGTGTGCCGGCGCCGCAAGGTGGAGGATTAGCCTAGTGAGCTGCGGCGCCGGCTTTAAACTATATATTAAAGGAACAATATCCATTGCTGATTTTTAAAAATTTCCATTAAGTAAGATGAAAAAGGGTATCTTTATTTGATAAAGGGTATCTATGAAAAACCTACAGTTAACATTATACTTAATGATAAAAAACTAAATGCCTTCTCTCTAAAATCAAGAGTTGTCCACTCTCACCCCTCTAGTCAAAAATTTGCACTGGAGATTCTAGCCAGTGTAATCTGACAAGAAAAAGAAATAAATGAGAGTCAGATTTAAAGAAAGAAGCAAGGGGCCAGCACCGCGGCCCAGTAGGTTAATCCTCCGCCTATGGCGCCGGCATCCCATTTGGGTGTCGCCTCAAGTCCCAGTTGCTCCTCTTCTGATCCAGCTCTCTGCTGTGGCCTGGGAAAGCAGTAAAAGATGGTCCAAGCGCTTAGGCCCCTGCACTTGTATGGGAGACCTAGAGGGAGCTCCTGGCTACTGGCTTGGGATCGGCTCAGCTCTGGCTGTTGTGGCCATTTGGGAAGTGAACCAGCGGATGGGAGACCTTTCTCTCTGTCTCTCCCTCTCACTGTCTATAACTCTCTCAAATAAATAGATAAAGAAATCTTAAAAAAAAAAAAAAAGAAAGAAGTAAAAATATTTATTTGAAGATGAGATGATCACTATGTGAAAAAACAAAATAAATCCAATGCCTTAATAAGTGAGTTTAGTATGACTGAAGGGCCAAGAATACACATCCCACAATCAACTGTGCATTTCCACATACTACCAACAATCAGACACTGAAATACAAAAGAAAAGAAAAGAAAAGAAAAGAAAAGAAAAGAAAAGAAAAGAACCTGTTACAATAGCATCTAAACGCATGTAAAATATAAAATAATTAGGGATATTTGACAAAAGACATGGACAACCTATACACTGAAAACTATAAAATACTGCTTGGAAAAATTAAAGAAGAGCTAGACAGCTATATACACAGAGAGATACGCCAGTTTATGGGTGGAAAGACTCAATATTGTTAAGATGTTAATTCTAATTTTTTCCCTCTAGACTGAACACAATCATAATTGGAATCCAAGAAGACTTTCTTGTAGAAATTAAACACTAATATTTAAACACACATGAAAATACAAAGGGACCTTGAATAGCCAAGACAACTAAAAGCAAAAAAATTAGATGGATAACACTATCTGATTTCAAGTATTATTACTGAGCTACACTAATCAGAATCTCACAGTATTAGCATAAAGATAGACAAATAGGTGTGTGTGTATATACATATACATACACACAAGTCATTTTAAAAACAACACTACTTGGTTATCTTCTGAGAATTCTATCTATGAAATACATGAAATCTGTTATCTTTATAATAATAAAAATAAAAAACCCACCTTTACTGTGACATAATTTGCATGCCATGAAATTCACCATTACTATAAATCTAGTTAGAGAACATTTTATCATCCTCAAAAAAAAACCATATACTCATTAACAATCACTTTTTTTTTTTTTTTCCTTTTTTGACAGGCAGAGTGGACAATGAGAGAGAGAGAGACAGGGAGAAAGGTCTTCCTTTTTGCCGTTGGTTCACCCTCCAATGGCCGCAGAGGCTGGTACACTGCAGCCAGCACATTGTGCTGATCCAAAGCCAGGAGCCAGGTGCTTCTCCTGGTCTCCCCTGCGGGTGCAGGGCCCAAGCACTTGGACCATCCTCCACTGCACTCTTGGGCCACAGCAGAGAGCTGGCCTGGAAGAGGAGCAACTAGGACAGAATCCGGTGCCCCAACTGGGACTAGAACCCGGTGTGCCGGCGCCACAGGTGGAAGATTAGCCTATTGAGCTGCGGCGCTGGCCAACAATCACTTTCTAATCCCTACCCCTAGCCCTAGCCAACCAATGATGGTATCTTATGGTTTGATTTGCATTTCCCAATAACTGATGATGTTCACTGTATTTTCATGTACATATTATCCATTTGCATATTTTTCTGGGACTTTTTAATTGTTTTGCCTGTTTTGAGTTTTAAGAGTTCTTTATATATTCTGGATACAAGTCTCTTACTAGATATGATTTACAAATATTTTGTCTGATTCTGTAGTTGTCTTTTCTCTTTCTTGATAGCTTTTAATTTTGATAAAGTCCAACTTACCAATCTTGTCTCTTATTGTTTGTTGGACCACTGATTTTTGACAAACATACAAAGGTGATGTACTGGAGAAAATACAGCCTTTTCAGCAAATGGGTACACACACACACACACACACACACACACACAACATGCCTTGCACCATAAGCAAAAACCAGCTCAAACTGGATCACAGATCTAAATGTAAAACTTAAAATGACAATCTTTAGGGATGGGTATTTGGCCTAGCAGTTATGTGTTGCTTGGGATGCCTGCATATTCTGTACCAGTTCCTGGGTTCTAGTCCCAGCTGTATTCCCAATTCCAGCTTACTGCTAATGCAGATCCTGGGACGCACAGGTGATAGTTCAAGTCACCTGGATTGACTTCCTGGACCCTGGCTTTGATGTGGTCCATCCCCAGCTGTTTCAAGTATTTACGGAATGGGAGAGTAGATGGAAGCTCTGTCTCTCCCCACCCTTATCTCTCAAATAAATAAAATGTTAAAAAATGAATGGTAATACTAGAAGAAAATATTTGTGTCCTTGTGTTTTTATGACACAAAAAGTGCAATCTGTAAAAGAACACTCAAAAAACAAGAATTAATCAAAATTTAAAACTTTTGCTCTTTAAAAAACAATGTTAAGATGAAAGACAGTGGAGAGCAATATCAGGGAACAGTTAGGGAGAAAACAGCAGAGGAAATACCACAGAAATTGGAGGGACACTATGGAACTACTTGGAGGGTGTGGACACGCACAGCTCAGGACCCCAGCA